ATCAAATGAATTACAAGGATATGGAAATAGTAATAAATGGAAATAACAATAAATGGAAAGATACCTATGATAATAAGGCAAATATCTAATATTTGCCTTATAATAAAATATCAAATATAATATATATGGTAAACTATAATTTATTACTAAATATCCTTAACACCCCACCGCAAGCTAAGCGTCGGATTTAAACGAACGTGAAGCTTGAATCTGAAAAATTCAAAGAGGTTGAGAAACACTTTTCATGAAGATGCTAACAACCCGGTTCTTGGCCATCAAAAATTGCAGAGGGATCGCCGCTCAGCGGCGATGCTGCCTTGACTTCGGCGAGAATGTGTCTAACCCATGAAGAGGGATTGTCGCTTAGCGACGATGCTGCCTTGGCTCTGGTGAGAATATTTCTAACCCCAAGAAGTAGAAGGGGAAACCTAGAGCAAGGGACAAAGACAATGTTGAAGCCGAAGAGTCGCCACATTGGGCGAAGGAGCCAATTTTGGCGAGAAGGGCAGTTGGAAGAGTCGCCTCATCGAGCGAAGAAGCCAATTTTGGCAGGAAGGGCGGCGGCAACTTGGTTGGCGAATAGGCCAGTGCGGCACCCAGATTCCGAAGGTAAATCTCTGCAAAAGGTTGATAGGTTTAGGTTAAGGTTTATGTGAAGGATGAAGGTTGATTGGGAAGAAAATGAGAGAGACTATATTGGCCAAGGGGAAAAACCGATTTGGTTGAAAAGGTGAGGTTGTATGTACAGAGTATGACGAAAGGTGATTTAGAGGTCAATAGGGTGGAGCCGAAGAGTAATCAATCGGCTCCGACTACGGCAGCCATGAAGACTGCCCCTGCGGCGTCAAAGCCAGCAGGGGTGGTGGAGAAGAAGATTAGAGGATTCAAAAGCTATTCAAAAGCTATCAAATGAATTACAAGGATATGGAAATAGTAATAAATGGAAATAACAATAAATGGAAAGATACCTATGATAATAAGGCAAATATCTAATATTTGCCTTATAATAAAATATCAAATATAATATATATGGTAAACTATAATTTATTACTAAATATCCTTAACAGGGGACGGGGATGAAAAATATAATATCCATCCCTAACCATGTTAATCTAACGAGTAGAAACCTCTTCCAACTTCTTCCGTCCTCCATTTAAACACAGGGATACCCGTGAGAACAGGGATGATAAATATGATATCCATCCCTGTCCCTATCAATCTAATGAGTTGAAATCTCTTCACACCCCTCACATTCTCCATCTAAATAGAGATTCTTATTGGGACGTGGATAGAGAATATAATATCCATCCTCGGACCCTATAAATCTAACCAGTAGAAACATCTTCTCACTCTTTCGCTCATTCTCCATTTAAACAGAGGGATACCCGTGGGAACGGGGATGGGAAATATAACATTCATTCCTGTCCTCGTTAATCTAACGAGTAGAAATTTCTTCCCGTTCTATTTTCCATTCTCCATTTAAACCGAGAATCTAGCTCATAGGTTCAACGAACATCTCTCCATACTATTCTAAAAAGAAAAGGGGGAAAAGTGGGAGAGAGAAGTAGCCAATAGAAAACAGACAGCAGTTAATGAAATTGGTTTTTGTTGGGTATTTGGGCATTGGAATATGAAGAGTGTTTGTAGGTTTGTCACAAAAGCAAAAATAAAGGGGAATAGCTTTTACGCTGTACCCAAACAGATCCATTTAAGATTTTCTCTCCCCATTTCCCATTCAATCAATAACTATTCTTTCCCCTTTTTAAAAGCCCCATATTCCCCTCTTCCCCTCTCATGTTTATCCACTCAAATCCAATTCCCTCATATGTTTAACCCACTCCATTGTCACTAATTTTATTATTAATTTTTTTGGATAAAGTGGCTTTAATAAGATTTTAATATAATAACGTCCTCGTAGGACAACTCGTATACCTTAACCAAAAAGCGTTTGTTGTAAAGATCATGGTTTTCTCATAGTAAAACACTTTAGATGTCCAAAATCCTCGATGGATTGGCTATGCCAACTCATTCACTTACAATTCTATCATCTGGGCTTCTTTACAAAGGCAGAATCGAGCATAACTTTTTGATTTTTTTTTAATACGGACAGATACTACGGCAAAAGTTGTCAATTTCTTAGTTGTACAGTACATCGATTTGTCTGAGCTTAAAGTAGTGGCCTTACCTTATCAAACAATGGAGTGGTAGAGTTCTTTTTTCCGTTATTTGATTACTTTATCATTAGTAGATAGGTCTTGGTAGGGCTATTTTTTTCTTCTTTCAATCTATGCAAATGTGTGCCATGCATGCTCTGATAGAAACCTAGATTGTTCGGATTTGGTTTATAGTGGCAATCAAATCCTTATTATATCCAAATTCTTTTGGCTAACATCAACTTGAAGTGAGTGTGATAATCATAAGAAAACGGAAAAAAGGGTTGTGAAATCCTACATTGGTTGAAGAGTGAAACTGCATAAAAATGTGGAAAACTCTTCCTAGCAGATTGCGTTTAAAAAAAAAAACCATAAAATTATAAGCGTACCGAACCGAGCCAAACGGACAATTACATGGTTGAATTTAACAACAATAACCATATCTATTTCACAATTCAACAAACACTTGATGATTACAACTTGGCATCTTCGTGGGCCTTATTTCTTACTATAAAAACACAGTTATTAAGCAATTTACATCACAAATAATCTACTTTCCATGAGGTTTTTGTCGCCGTAAAAATATTTTTTAACCACCAAAATAACCTCTTCAACTCCAAACCCACGGCATATATTTTCCTTTTTTTACTACAGAAAATCACCGACTAACCACACAACACTCCAAAGCTTTCTTCATTTCAAGGGACAGCTTCAAACATTCCGACAAATTAACCGGCTTTGTCGAACACGGAACCCATTCGAACCGTTGCAGAAAAGTGGCTAGCCATAGATGCACAGTGGCTAAACCCAACGCCCTCCCTGGGCACGCCCTCCGCCCAGCCCCGAACGGCGCCAGCCTCAAATCCGAACCCATAATCGACATGTCGTCTTCAATGAACCGCTCTGGTCGGAATGTCCATGGGTCTTTCCATATGGAAGGGTCATGAGATATGGCCCACATGTTCACCATTGCCGTGGTGCCAGCTGGGATTAAGACCTTGTCCACGTGGACATCATGGATTGCCAAACGGGCCCACGACAGTAATGGACCTGGAGGGTGTAAACGGAGAACTTCCTTTACTATGGCTTGGAGGTAAGGAAGGTTGGGAATGTCGGAATCACGCACGTGCCTATTGCAACCTACACACGTGTCGATCTCCTCTCGAGCTTTGGCTTGGATTTCTGGGTGTAATATCATCCTGCCCATGATCCATTCTAAGAGTATGGCAATCGTATCGGTTCCACGAAATATCATTTCCTGCATCATATATTAATGAAAAAATACTTTACCTTAAAATTATAATATATGGTATAATACGATATTTGTTTCAGTATAGAGTGATAAATATGTTACCCATAGAACAGCCACCATGTCTGAATCATTCAGCTGATCCTCCTTTGGTAAAGTAAGCAAAGCACTAAGAAAGTCATTTTTCGCCTCATTTTTGTCTCTTTTTCTCTCTTCAACAATCTGCCCGACTGCTACACTAACCCTGCCCGCCAATTCATGGCACTTCCTTTTCACTCCACCAAAATCCAAGAAACTGACCGGAAAATGATCTTCCCAATTGAACATAGCTATCAATTCATAGCCTTCTCTCACCATTTCACTCAGTTGATTCTTTCGTACCGTTTTAAAATCACTTCCAAACACGCTCTCTATTATGTTCTTCAACGTATGCTTTTGGAGGACTTCTCTTAGCCTCACTACCCCGTCAATGGTCATATTTCTTGACATCTCCTCTGTCATTTCAACGCCAACCTCTCTTCTGAGCCCTTCCAGGTCGGAGATTCTTCGTGGAGAAAACATGTGGTTTGCAGCGATTCGTCGAAGATTACGCCAATAGACTCCATTGGGAGCGAAACCAATGGCTCGCTCGAACATCATTAGTCGAGCTGATTGCTTGATGGGGCGGTCGGAGAAAGCTGAGCCACAGAGGATCTGCTTGGCCGTGTCAGGGTGACTACTTATGATGGCTCTAGTCGTACCCAAGCTGAAGGACATGAGACGAGTGGCTTTGAAGGAGTGTGCAATGGCAGCGAGATTTCGGTGAGCAAGTGGCCCCATTTGCGGGAGCGTTCCGAGTAACGGCCAGCCAGAGGGGCCGGGAAGGTTGGCTGAGGAGCGGTGGTGGTTGCGCCATGCAAACCCACCGGGGATGAGCCAGAAGTTGAGAGAGAGGGCGAGGAGAGAGCAAAAGAGGAAATTGAGGAAGGTGAAAGGGAAGAGGAGTGAGCTTATTGTGAGGGTGGCAAGAATAAGAAGCTTCATTTGTTTAGAAGTAGAGAGGTTTGTGGATAGCAAGACAATGTGTTGGAAACTTGGAGTGCATGGGGATTTAGGTGGGGAGTGGTTTATATAGTACGTGGGAACTAATCCTGGTTAAGCCTGCAGTTACTACTCACCTAACCATAGTTAAGCTTTTGGGCATAGATTTGCCTTTCTTTTTTGCTTCAAATTTGAGCTTGCAATCATTTTCTCAATCCTATGTAAGAACCAATTTTGCATAACAAGAAAACGAGCTAATATGCTTAGAATTAAGAACTATCTAAAAATTACCCTTCAAACATGTAACTGAGGTTAGTGAAGAGTAATTAACGAGATCGAAAGTAAAATCACCATAAGCAATTCAATTGGTTAGTGTTAAAATTTTCATAGAATATTCTCGACATGGAACAAAAGCTTTTTTTTTTTAAAAAAAACATGAAATTTTATTATATTAAAAAGAAAAAAAGGAAAAAAGGGAGCTGATATTGTGGAAAAAGCAGGAATGTGAGTGGAGACATAACACCATTTCATACAGCCAAGGCAAAAGGGAAAACAGTTCGAAGGATGCCGGTTTTTGGAAAACCCAGAATTTACCTAATTTTGCATTGGATTTTAATGTTATAATAATTCTAAAAGAAAAGAAAAAAAAAGGTTTAAAAAATTTGGAGAATTGCCTGGCTGACATCAGGAGAAGCATCTTGTTAATCAAATACGTGGCACTTATTTTGGCATCCACTTCTTTTTTAAAAACATTCATTTTGTCCACCCACTTTCAAAAATTAATTAATTTCGTAGCAAAATTTAAACTAAAAAGATCTTGCATAGTAAGTAAATTATCCTGCTAAAATTATGATTAAAAAAATGAAAATTACCCACTAAAATTGTGACTTTTTAAAAGCACGACTAAAATAAAGTTTTAAAACGAAATTGTTGTACCAAAATGGTTACTTTTTAAAATTACGACTCAAATGGATGTTTTAAAAGTACATGAACAAAAATGAGCAGAACAATAATAGACAGACAGAAAACATCTATTTAATTGGTCCTCTAATCTCGGATTCATGATTAGAGGGTTCTTGTAGCTTCATTGGTTAGGATGGATGGATACTTTTAAGTCCTTGATAATATTTCTTTAATCAATATGATAAAGTTCATAATAATACACATATATAACACAATAATGAATAGTACAACAAGTAACTTATTATACTTATTTGGTATACACATGAAATATTATTCACAAGTTGAAAATAAAGTGATAGGACAGGTTGTAAAGCTACACATCACAATGTTTATTTATTTATTTATTTATTTTTTGGGTTCTGGACAAAACATCTGCCCTCCATTTTTATTGTTCAGCTGACGAGTTAGTTCACTTTGTAAACCAAACGGTCATTTCTAATTCTAGCAAGAAAGATTATTTGCCTCACCAACTTGAAGATAATTTTATTATTAAAGGAATTAATAACATTTATAGGGATGAATCATTGGAGATTTATGTTGAGGATTGTTGGGAGAAAAGTCTCATATTGACTAATTAAAGGGTTGATCGTGGATTAGTAAGGAATGCATTTTCATAGGTATGAAGTCTTATGAAGAAACCAAAAGCAAAGTCATACCCTTAAGTTAGTCATGTCAATAGTATCCTCAAATGTCGAATAAAGAAATTGTGAGTCTCGAAGGTGCAGTCAAAAGTGCCTCAAGTGTCGAACAAAAAATGTACTTTGTTTGAGGGCTCAAGAGAAGGGGTCGAGGCTCGATTAAGGGGAGGCTGTTCGAGGGTTTTATAGGCCTCAAGAGAGGCTTTATAATATGCTTTGTTCGAGGGGAGGATTGTTGGGAGAGAAGTCTCACATCGGCTAATTAAAAGGTTGATCATAGGTTTATAAGTAAGGAATATATCTCTATTGATATGAAGTCTTTTAGGGAAATCAAAAGTAAAGCTATGAGAACTTATTCTCAAAGTAGACAATATCATACCATTGCATAGAGTCGTGGTTTCTAACTATTTAAATGTCTAATATTTTAATAAGTTGAACTATATTTTTGAATATGTAGATCAAATAATAATAATAATTAATAGTGGAGAACTTTTTAGCACATGCCCTCTCATTAATGAGTCATGGTGACTTCTCTAAATCTCTATATATTTTAATAAACGTCTAGGATTCGTACCTCAGTGCATATGGATTGGGGTATAGCTGCCTGATATAAAGGGCCGATGAAGGCTCCAATGATCTTTCATCTATTTAAAACAAGAAAAATCGATATTAGTAGGAAGATAATGTCATGAAAAATGAGAGAATTCAACCAATAACTAATGGAAAGTCTACTTTTACCTAAAATAGGCAACGGGCAATTAGAACGCTTACATTCATAGATCCGACGCGCTGACCAGATACCATATATGCTCTCAACTCAAAAATTAGAGTTACTAAAAGTAAAATGGGAAATATATAACAGCAATTCATTTGGTGGAATCAGAATAACATCCATTGTGCAGGATTCAATACTAATGAGAAAAGCATAAGATAAGTAAGCAGTGAAGGGCTGAGGTTCAATATATTTTACAAGGGCCAATTCACTAATAACCGTCAAATCCATATGATTATGTCACCGCTTGATGCCATCCTGCCCCACAGTTACTACATCATCTCGTACAAATGTTGTGTGGCAGTGCCCCTTTTTACCCCACTCACTCATATAAGTAATACACATAAATCAGCACAAAAGAAGAGTCTAGCCGACAGGAGCACCCACTATATTATAATCGCCAGCAGTCCATCCACAAAGCATCCCCCCATTATTGGGGCCTATGATCCACACTGCATATCATATTATTACAACAAAAGAGCTCCAATACCAATATATGTACAAGCTTGGGATGTGCCAAACAAGACGCGTGGCTTCCTCTACTTGGGTTGTATAATATAAAATGGATCTCTCAATTTGGGAGGATGACGATTCTACTTTGCTCAAAGCAGGGAATATAAAATCTCCCACTTACTCGCATATTCGCTGGCGTGCTAAATGACCTGTGATTTTCCCAGGCTGGTGATTATAATTTTGGGACAAAGACCACCAATTAGAACTCGACTAACAGGAATCAAGAATTTCCCCCCTGCAACAGGATTCGGAATGCTGGCTAGCTTTTACATTTGAATAATATCCCTATTCTAATCTTTTTTATATCCACTAACCCAGTCGCTGGACCACCCCCCATGACTGTTATCTGTTGCTTTCTTCCCACGAGGCTTCTTTCCACTAGTAGCAAGGTGTGCTCAAGATCTTCATCGGCACCACTAATACCAAGGTGTCCATCGGCACTACTAATACCAAGGTGTCCTCTATTAGAAACCACGAACCTTCGTGATGGTATGATATTGTTCACTTTGAGCAATAGCTCTCATGGATTTGCCTTTGGTTTCTTTAAAAGACCTCATACCAATGAAAATGGTGTTCTCATGATCTTCAATTAGTCAATGTGAGACTACTTCTCTCAATAATTCTCCCCTCGAACAAAGTATACCACAAAGCCTCTCCTGAGGTCTCATTCTCTAGAGCTCTCAAACAGCCTCCCCTTAAACGAGACTCGACTCCTTCTCTAGAGCCCTCGAACAAAATACACCATTTGTTTGATAGAGTTACATTTAACTACACTTTCGAGATTCACAATTTCTTTGTTCGACACTTGAGGATTCTATTGAGATAACTAAGTTAAGGACATGACTCTGATACCATGTTAGAAACCACAAACCTCCATGAAGGTATAATATTGTCTACTTTAAGCATAAACTTTCAAGAATTTGCTTTTAGTTTTCCCAAAAGGCCTCGTACCAATGGAGATAGTGTTTTCATGATCTTCCCTTAATTAGCCAATGCGAGACTACTCTTCTCAATAATCCTCAACATCCCCCGTCAACACACAAGCCTTTAACTAAACTTAAACTCACCAGACAACCTAATCCTGCTGTATAGGTAAAGGCTAGCTATGATAAGAACGTGCATGGTTGGGCAAGTGATAAAGTTCCTCTACCTTCGTATAATGTAAAATACAGTCAAATTAAGAACAGTTGTGGAAAAATGTTGCTTTCTTAGGATAAGAACATCAAAAAGTGGCAGCCATATGTATGGGGCCACCCAGAATAAAGAAACAAAGTATTTAATAAATTAAAAAGGTTGCTTAATCCAGAACTTATTTCATGTAGTGCAAGCTTAATGGCCACTGCTTAATAGCCAATAAGTTTCTCTTTACCACTTTTTCTTTATTAAATCTCTAATCATGCATCTAGATACGCCCAAAAGGTATGCATTTTGAAGCATATGGAAATGTTTTTTTCTCAAATCGTATATGTAAAGTAATCAGAAGCAATCTTAGGAATAAGAATAACGTTCAGTTAATTATACACCAAGTCTTCAAATGAAGGAATCTATGACAAACAATGTCTTCAAATCATAATCGCACAAAAAGAATCCGGCAGATATTGAAATCAAATCTTTCCTTGCAGGATATGCAGCAATAACCCCACATTGCTAGGAACAGAGTAATTTTTGCAAGGATCCAAGACAAAATCTTGTTCATAATAGGCACATAAAGGAGCGGGGACACAACAAAACTAGAACCAATCATCACAGTCTAAATCACTAGCAAGACAGGAGCAAAGTTGCAGACGAACTCCCACCAGAAAAAATATAAACAGAAAGTAGTGCACCCTATCAAGTACAGCCTCCAGCGAACTGACTACCATCAGGATTATTCAAGAAGAAAAAAGTAGAGAGGGAAAAGAGACAAAAGAAGCTTTACTTTGTACACAGTAACAAAAGCACTTGAAACCGCATGCCCTTCAAATTTTTATTTAATAAATATCTTTAGCCTTTAGGAGAAAAAAAAGCGTTTAAAAGTAGATGCTCAGACCTATTGTTGTTGTTGTTGTTTTTTTTTTTTTTTTGGGTGATATTTTAGTTCATATACTTTGACTAAATCTTTAAATTGGTCTATGATTAACTATATATATATATTAATCTTTCCTCTATAAATGTTCAAATGATATTCATATTGTATCTTTTATTAAACGGATATATATTATTACTGTTTTATTTTTTTGTCGCTGTCAAGTTGGGCAAAAATTAAATTCAAACTAACCAAGTTTAATGACTAAAATAAAATAAGTTCAAAAGTACTTTAATCAAAATATTTTTTTAACCTTTTTAATAAGATTCAAAATTTGGAAAATTTTAGAAGGGTTAAATACCATTTTAGTTAGTAAGCTTTCAAGTTCGTTCTATTTTGGTCAAACTTTCAAAATGTTTATTTTGGTCATCACCGTATTATCTTTCCATCTAATATCAACTTGTCAAATACTTGTTCTTGACTCATACATACTATACTAAACCTTTATCACTCAAACCTATATCACTCATTTGTTAAAAACAAAATGAAGGTAAGGATCAAAATTATTCTTTTTTTGAAATCTCAAGGGCTAAATTAAACATTTTAAAAGCTCAAAACCAATATAGAATAAATCTAAAAATTCTAATGACATGAATATTTTGAAAGTTGAGAAACCAAAATAGGGTTTCCAGGACAATGATTGCTGTTTTGTAATATAGCATCCCACATCTTAAAGAAAATAGGTAGGAACACTAATTTAACCAATGAGATATTTATGTTGGCAAAATAATAATTGTTAACCATAGAAAATCAAGCAAGAAATCTTCAGATTTGAATCAAACTTCTCAACAATAGGAAAATATTGGTTCATTCTTGTGCTGAAGAATGAACTTGTGATCGTGAGGGGAAGTGAAATATAGAAGCAATTATAAAACTAATTTCTTCAGATCCTATTTCCCAGTACTAAAATCCATAATAGTACCTACATGATCAATGCCACAACATTAAATCACCTACCTGTACTGATAAATTTGTAATGATATAAAGAACATCACGTAGCTTGGGCATTCCAACATGGAATTATTTTCTGTTATCAGAAAATTGTGTTTCTTGCATTCATGCACAACTTCGTATTTGATATGTTCCTGGATTAAGTTTAGATATGTACCTGACAACATCTGAAGGAACACTGATCTGATAGAAGTCCTTGGTTTGCTGCATTTGAAAAGGTGAGTTGCCTTAGTTCTCTTTCAAAAAATATACAAGTTACTATAAAATATCAAAACGGCAGTGCTTTACTATAAAATATCAAAACGGCAGTGCTCTACTTAGAAAATATTAAGCAATGAAGCTCCATTGGTGAACTGTCACTACGCAGAAATGGATTTTCAACTCACATCCATCTAGATCGAGCATTTGCATGATCCTAAATGTGATATTTACACCAGCAAAAGCAAAGTGGTATTCCTAAGCAGCTGGTTTTCTTCCTTGTTTTCTTAACAGGCATTGGAAAGATGTCTGAAACCATAAAAAAGGCAACAAGGATTAGTAAAGGCGTAATAGCATGTTATACTCGGTCATCTATTGGGAGTTTTGAACTCAATTCAAAAAATTGTTGGCCCATTCAGGTTAAAAGAATCTGAAAATTTATGTGAGGTATCAAATGAAGTTTAGGATCTTAAGAACAGCAAATTCTCCAAAGAGATAAATCCAGATCCTTTGGATTAGGTAAAAGCTTTTCAGAGCAATGACAGGAGTCCTCAACTCATGTAGCAAATTAACAACCTAAAATCAGTCGATGGGTTTCTTCCCTGCCATCCCCTTTCTTTCCATTGATCTCATACCAACGCCTGAAGCTCTTGATCAGGATAAGCTGCATACCACAGAGCTCTTAGAGCATCCTGCCTTGGTGAAAATTTCATAATAAGCATCCTAGAAAGCAAGGTGTGCACATACAACTAATAACATAAAGATTGTTGTACAGTGACATTAGAAGCAAACGTTATTAGTGGTTTAGAGGTTACTCCACATATGAACTAAAGTTTCTGTGCTTTGAGAATCGTCTGGGCACTAAACTTAGGCATGAAATTTGAAAATATATGGAAACTTGTTAGTCTATTCTTGATCGGTGCTTTAATGTTCTTAGCCTATCTTCCTGAGGTCATGAATGCAAATGTTATTCTGAGGCAATCAGCCATACAATGATTTTCATCAAGTTAAAAAGACAGTACATACATAGATGACAAGAATCCTTACCAAAACTATTTGAAAATTTGAAAATTTGAAAATTATCCATATGGAGGAAGCGTCTTGTTCTTAAAGGACGTGATTAATTTTCAGCAGAAGGCCTGTGCAGGAGTCAGGTAGAACGAATACGTTCAAAATTTCCCTTCAGCTTCAAGCAAATGCAAATGATTCCCTTGCCAATCCAAGTTGGCGTTCCACACATCACATGATCAGGTTCAAATTTAAGCTTAAACTTGAAACTATTGCCACTAAATCAGCCATTATATCACTGAACAACATAGAAAATAGTATCCGACCAGATCTTTCCCTATTCTACCGCGTTTTTCCTTTTCTAATTCACTCCTGCGGAGGCTGAGAAAAATGATACTAACCGCAAGTCTTATAGAGGATAAACCACCATATCAGATGAGTTCTTATGGCGTGCATCTGACTGAAACTTACAGTAATTCCTAAAGAAGGCTAATTCAAATGCGTCTATCTAAGAACAGGCAAATAGAGAAGAAGCGTTGAGAGAAGCATTACCGGAGACGGCGAAGGAAATGTGTGAGCAGCGCCAAATAATCTCCGTAGTTCTCTGATTCCTCATCTCTCGCGCTCATCATCCCACCGTCTGCAAATCAAATGAGAGTACGGATATTCTCTCAGACTCGGCGTTGCGGGTGAACTTTCAATATGTCATGGAAGTCTTTTCCTCTGTCCACAAGATAGCTTTTAATCGAATAATAGGACAAAAATGCTTCCCCACCGTACATCGAGACCGGGACAAGGGGCAAGCCTACTAGTTTGAACTCCTTGGCATGACTTGCCCCAGGTTTGGTTTAGGCATGAGATGGGCACGAATGCTCCCCATAACACAAAAATGCTCCCCATAACACAAAAAGTTTAGGTTTATGGGTCATTTGATATGTAGGCATCGACAATGATCCTTCTGCAGGTTCACCTACGGGAGCACATGTTAGCCTCCCATGCACACTATCACACAAATGATTTAAAATTGAGTCATCGGCATCTGTTGTCATGATACTACGGTGATTGATTCAACCTCGGTACCATGTCTCGACCTCAACTTGCATGCCTCCTCTTTGTGAGCGAGGGATGAATCTTATGTTGTCCCTTTGAACATTGTCCCCAAAGACGATGCTCTCAACACGACCTCAGGTTAGATGAGACTACTCACTGAGTTTTTTTATTGATCTAGCCACTTCAAAATCTATGATATTCAGTATGATTCCACTAAAAAAAAATAGTCTTTCTTAAGCAGAAGCGTTGGTCTTTGCCTCACTTTTTAGACAGGTTCGCGGGTCAATGTTTTTTCTTGTCCCGATTGAAAGCAGTTGGGTTCCCCCAAATCAAAAGCAAAATTGTCAGTCTCCTAGATCTAGTCAAGCAATTCGACTTAGCTAGAAAATCCAGTATCGCCAAACTAGTGACAGATTTTCACCCATGTGAATGAATAAAATGTGACCCAATTCCTTTGACCGGTCGTCTTTCAGGTAGTATGTTCATGGAATGGGTCGAGGATAGAAAAACTTTTCTCGTGCCTGCCCTTATCTAATATTTCAATATTCATTTCTCCGAATTTTTTCATTTATTTTTACGAGATTTGAGTGGTAATTTTACGAGATTTGAGTGGTAATTCTCTATCATTTCTCCACTCATTCTCTCGGAGATTCTACATCTGTTCGAAGCAGATCTTCAACCTTGCATATTAAATGAACATCTCTAAGTTATCTACTTATTATTGTGTAAATAAAATATAAAAAAAATAAACTTAATTATTTCTAAAAATAAGTTGTCCAATTCTTGTTGTTTAAATTATTGTTTAATATATGTTGTCCAATTCTATTGTAAAGTCCAATTATTGTTTAATATATGTTGTCCGATGAGTATGTTATGTATGAGATAAGAAATTACCAAAATGCCCCTATGATAAGATTTGTGAGTAATGTTGTTTCATGTGCGTTCCACGGTATTAGAAAGAAGGAGTTATTGTGATCTGTGCTATGGATGATTGATGGATGTTATCTCCCCGTTGAGCTAGTTGGCTTGTATGTGTGCATGATATGATATGTGTCAGCTCCAGGTGTTTGACTGTGTGTTCTCCACATAAAGAGCTAGGGTGTTAAAGTTAAGTTGGCTAGATGATTACATAGGTAAGAACGCCTCCAGTAGATTGAGTACCTTAGGATCGTGAGCGACGGTTAGAGAACCTAGACCCTAGTGGTCCCAGACTAAGAACGACTCAATGTGTCAGAATAGTGCAACCTAGAATCAGAAGTCCACATTAAACCACCTATCTGCCCTAGGAATCCAATAGATCTCTTTAGCTCCCAAATATTACTAATATGAAATTTGAAATTATGTGTTACGAGCTTAGGTGACCAATAAAAATATCTCCCTAGCAAAGCATGCACGAGAGAATTCAGTTTAGATTAGAGCATTACAGCTAGTGTGGTTTACATGTTGGCCCTGTTCAATATATTTTCAATAAACCTTGCACCCGAGGATCGTGAGCAATCAGAAGTGTAGACTTGTGGGCACCTAGAGTTTGGTTTAGCTTGAGGAGCTAACCCCGAACGTCTTGAAAATGAGAGATGAGATTTAAACCGCCTAAACACTCCTAAAAACCTAGTAAATTACCAAAACATCTAAACACGATTAAGAAAACTTAACAAAACTCTGAAGCCCATTGAGTTACTATTGAGTGTAGGGTAGGGACAAGGCTAACGTTGCGATCTTCTTAAACATTTCGATAAAATCTTCAAGGATTACAAGCCAAAGACTGATACACACAAATCGATACAAATACAAGTTATTTACACGGTGTCTAATTTTTTTTTTTTTTTTTTTTTTTGTTGAAATCAAAACAATCATATTTCCTTAATATATATATATAATTTTATAATTTTGTTTTTTTTTTCTTTAAAATTGACTTTTTTATATCAATATATAAAAAGGAAAATTATAACTTTTTCTTTTAATTATTTTTAAAAAAAAACGAACTAATTCCCTAAAAACAAAGTATAATTCTTATAACATAATTATATTTATTAATGCTTATATTAAAAAAATATTTATGTGATAAAATAGATTATCATGTTATCATGCAAAATGATTCTTATGCTCTTATTGCTTTTTCTTTATTATCTTTATATGAAACTATTTAGCAAAATTTTGAAATTAGTGAGGGATTGAAAAGAAATATTATGCTTCTTAGAAAGAATATTTACTTTTAGGTCCTTTGATATCTTTTTTTATTGCATAATGGGGTCTGTTCAAACTATTCCAAATGGTAGAGATGCTAAAGGTGTTTGAAATACTTCCATAAATTTTGTTTTTAAATCATAATTTTAAAATTATAGTAAAATTATAAAATATGCTTTTCATCGTATAATTTAAACGAAAGATGGAATTATACTAAGATTAACTAAAATTTTAAAAGCTAAAGACAAATAATGATGTTTATTTAAATCACGAGGCTGAAGATAAGATCCATCGCGAATGAGAGAAGTATTTTTGTTTAAATGGAGAGACCCCAACCCCGCATTGTCCCATAATTTGTTATTGAACTAAAAACATTTTAAAATTCACCATTCATGGCTTATTCTTTAAAAAGCCTTAAAAAAGGCGTTATAAAAAAGGTCTTGTAAAGAACTAATTCGACCCGCTTTTGAGCTAATTTGTCATTAAAACCATAGTCTCCAAAGGGTAGAAGGGATGAACAGATTACTTGATACGTCGGCAAAGAGTGAGGCCATCTCCAATGGAGAGGAGAGCTATCTCCACACGTGAATCATTAACTAAAAAAGCATTGAATTCTCGTATATGACTTCTATTAGCTTTCAAATCATGAGGAACGACGTCATCATTTTGTGCCACTGATCCATACCATAAAGTATTGTCATATGCAATTATTCCACCTACTTTCACCAATCTCAAAAGTAACTCGTGGTACTTAATGTATTCTCCTTTCACAGCATCCACAAATGCAAAATCAAATTCGGTATTTGTGTCCTATTAAAAAAAAATATTTAAATTAGTTTACAAAAACAATGAAAATATTAAGATTTAGACACAATCTATAATTTTTAGAATTTTTTTTTTTTCAGTTCTATAATATGAGAGAGAAAAAAAACATGTTTATTCTAAAACTAGAAAATTAATTATAGTTCACTAAATTTATGTTGTAAAATTAGAAGCCATGTTCAATAAGCAACTTGGAATCAATAACTTACGTCATTGATGAGGTCGTTGAGGACAACCAATGCCATTGATTCCACAAAATTGATCTTGTGATCAACTCCTGCCTTTTTGAAAAATGGCAAACCGATCTCAAATGATTCTCTGTTTACATCAATGGCTGTTATCTACCATCCAAATAAACAAACAGAGGAATCAAAAAAATATGAAATGAATTCGATAAACAAATGAATAACAGTTCCAAAAGCATTGATAAATCTTTAAGCCTTACCTGACCATCAGCGGGCAGCGCTAGCGCAGTGGTTAGGAGCGAATAGCCGGTGAATACGCCGATCTCTATCGTTTTCTTTGCGTTCATAAGTTTCAGAAGCATTGATAGAAACAATCCTTGATCCGCCGGTACGCTCATCACGCTCCTGCAACTCATTCCCCAAATTTCCTTCCAAATTATTAAACACTCTCGTAGACTATTAACGAATACTACAGAATCGATCGTTCCAAATCTTTCCAAATCGAATCGAAACTGATAGAAATTGCAAAAATCTAAATCCGAAGAGGAGTCAGGAATCTCACAAGGACTTGTCGAACTTTCGGAGTGTGGTTTCTCTGAGTTCCTTCAACTGTTCGTGCTCTCTCGGATAGGAATTGGCTTCCAGTATATACTGCAATCAAATACATGCGTTTTGAACTCCTCAATTCTTTATCCATTTTTCCGAACACTATTTGATTAAATTAATTTATCTAGAGCAATCGCGAGTAATTAACGAAATGAAGGCGCAAGAGACTAATTACTACTTGGAATCGGAATCGGAAACAAAACATGAACAGATTCAGATTGGAACGGGTACTAACCTGGAGAAGAGCAGTGCTCTGGAGGATATTCTTATCTGGACAATCGTCGGCCATGACCTACTCTGCAACGAACGCGCTTGGCTAGCAATCAGTGACTTCGTGTGAGCATTTACGGAAAAACGCGCATGGTTTATATAATACAGCAGCTCTGATGGAAAGTATGTGTGACAGTAATTAAAAAAACAGTAGCCTAGCCCCAACAGAGCCTAGTAAGGCGTGTGAGCGCCAGCCCAACCCCAAGTGCGCGAACTCCATAGTGAGACGACCATTCACATACAATATCAGCTTATGCTCGAGCCTCAGATCATGTTTGAAAGAAATGTTTTAGAAAACGTGATCGAGAAAATATGTTAAAAACAATTTAAAAGAAAACAATGTTATAAGCTAAAAAGTGAATAAACGACTCCAACTATTGATAGATATAGCATAGTAAGAAGAATTGACAATTAGTCACATCTGACTATAGTACATTTTGAGGCATTTTAGTCATGGCGAGTGTATATGATTTTGGTGTGTTTGGAATAGACATACAGTCACATGCAACATGCCGACCGTGACATGTTTAAGGTTGATTTGATTACAAGAAATAATATTTGTTTTAAATCATTGGTTAATTTGAATCACAAAATTATATTATAAATTTATAGATACATATAATTGTTGAGGATGGTTGAGACATTGGCTAATTTAGGGACTGATCATAAGTTTATAAGTGAGAAATACTTATCTAAGAGGGGTCCCACATTGACTAATTTAGAGACGGATCATGAGTTTATAAGTGAGGAATACTTGTCTCTATTGAAATGAGACATTTTGGGTCCACGAAGCTATGAGAACTTATACTCAAAGTGAACAATATCATACTATTATAGAGAGTCGTGATTCCTAACAATATATACGTAACGACAGAACTTTTTGTACACGTATCAGTATTAAAAGTACTCTACAAGGCACTCTTTTATTAGGGTTAGATATGTAAATTTTTATATGATTGATCAAACAAAAATCGTGGGACCTTAGAGGTTAATTACTCAAAACACATAACGTGTCGTCTTTCCACTGATAATCATTTTCATATATCACTCCTTAGAGCAACTATTAGTGGTTTGTTACCCGATACACACCGTGTATAACCCTTACCACAAAAATTATTTTTTTTAGCAATGACTCCTCAAAATGATTATTTGTGGTTGATTATCCAAAACACACCGTGTATAACCCTTATCACTATCATCAATCATAACCTACATATATTAGGTCCCAACACATTTATATTCATAATGCACCTTATCACATAACAGAGTCCAATAAGAGCAAACACATCCAACCATTTTAATGAAGAACTTAGCATTTATATTCATAATTAATAATGCACAAAAACGTGGTAGATGATAGAGGAAATAGGGAGAAATGTTGAAGATTGTTAGGAGAGGTGTGATGTCCCACATTGGTTGGGGAGGAGAACAAACCACCATTTATAAAGGTGTGGAAACCTTTCCCTAGCAAACATGTCTTAAAGCCTTGAGGGGAAGTTCGAAAGGGAAAGCCTAAAGAGGACAATATCTGTTAGGTGGATCTTGGGGCGTTACAGTAGGCTTGGCATGTTCCACGGTTACAACCTTGCGTAGGTTGACTTTTAAATATTGAATGTCATGATAGAATCATTTTCTTGGTTTCTAGAACCATGACGCACAGAGGGTGTAGGAGAGGGAGAGGACGACCTCCCATTAGGAGATGGGGAAGAGGAGAAGTCGAAAGAAGCTCTTCCCAAGAAGGGTCAACTACTGGACCCTATGCGTTTGAACCACCTCCAGAATATGAACCTCCCCCACAAGCTGCACCCCCTTTGGAAAACGCACCGCCAAGCTGTACCACAGGCCGGATTAGACCCCACCACAAGATTGATGTTGGAGTCACTCCAAACGACAATGCAAACAATTCTGGCCACACAACAGGCCACGTTGTTAGTTACGCAACAAGTCGGCTATTGCCATGCAACTGGCCAAAAACCTGTAACCCCAGGAGGGGGGGAGTTGGTTAAAAGACCCCACAGATGGTATAACCCCCCGTCCATTTATCTCTTCAAAAGAAGATCCCACAGCAGCTCAGCAGTTCAGATGTGGATCGCAAACATGGAAATGACCTTTGAATCAATGAGATGCCTTGATGAACATAAAGTAGCGTGTGTGGCATATGTACTGTAAAAGACGCAGAAGTGTGGTGGGTGGATAATAAACAAAGTATCAACCCGAGAGAGACCCGTATAAAGAAACGCAGAAGTGTGGTGGGTGGATAATAAACAAAGTATCAACCCGAGAGAGACCCGTATAAAGAAACAACAAGATGGTGTGGTGGGTGGATAATAAACAAAGTATCAACCCGAGAGAGACCCGTATAAAGAAACAACAAGATGGTGGATCAGTATGATCAGGAATTCATGAGATTAAGAAGGTTCACATCGTCACTAGTAGACACTGAAGAGAAACGGACGGAGAAATTTGTGTTGGGCTTGAACCTGAAGGCTCGCTGCATGTTGGAGGCTTTTAACCCGAAAACTTACGAAGAGGCTCTGAGGACGACCAAGGCTTTAGAGGAACCTCCGGAGGAGAAAAATTCGGAGCTAACGGTTGTCATAGGAAAGAAACGCCCTGTCGAGGTTGGACCCATGGAATTCCAACCGCCACTCCAAAGACCTCGACATCAGAACAGGACACCTACTCCTCCACCCCCAATAGCCCAATACCTAGTACCGAAAAAACCCTTGTGTCGCGACTGTGGAAAACAACATGGTAGCAGATGTTTGGTAGGCTCTGGTGTGTGTTATAATTGTGGTCGTGTAGGTCACGTGGCCAGAGCTTACCTTACAAAAAGGGGCATGGGAAACCCAAGGGAACCCCTTAGAGGTTCGGTCATTCGAGAACCCACCATGCAAACCCGCCCATAGACCAGGGCATATGCAACGAGCAGTAAAGAGGCGAGAACGTTTGGCACCGTGGTGACAGGTACGCTTTCTATACTAGGGCACTTTGCATTGATGTTGTTTGATTCAGGTTCTACCCATTCGTTTGTTTCTTTTCCATTTGTTAGACAAGCAAGGTTCGTAGTAGAACCCTTAATGCATGTATTGTCGATCGGTATCCCAACAGGGGTAGACCTAGTCACGAAAAATAGAGTAAAAGACAGACAAGTGGTAATAGCTGGACTAACCATCCATGTAGACCTAAAAGTAGTAGATATGACGGATTTTGACGTCATACTAAGAAAGAAGTGGTATTCACACCTCCAAATGGACTTACCTTTAAGTTTAAAGGAACCTTCACAGGTACCACCACAAAAACATTATCGATGATGAAAACCAGACGGTTGGTACAACAAGGGGGTGGGCACTTCTAGCCTGTGCAATAAACACAAAAGGAAAGGAGAAAACAATAAATACGATACCCATAGTAAACGAATTCACAGATGTCTTTCCGGAGGACCTCCCGAGAATCCCTCCATCGCGAGCAGAAGACTTTGGAATAGAACTGGAACCAGGAACGAGGTCCATCTCTAAAGCCCCTGCATGGCCACAGCAAAACTAAAAGAACTTAAATCACAACTACAAGACCTATTAGATAAATGCTTCATTCGACCTAGCATATCCACTTGGGGTGCGCCAGTGTTGTTTGTCAAAAAGAAAGATGGCTATATGCGTCTATGCATTGACTTCAGAGAATTAAACAAGAGGACGGTAAAGAACAAATATCCATTACCACGCATCGAGAACCTATTTGACCAACTTCGAGAGGCAACAGTGTTTTCCAAAATAGACCTTTGATCAGGATACCATTAAATTAAGATTAAAAATGAAGATATACCAAAAACATCCTTTCAAACCATATATGGCCACTATGAGTTTGTGGTAATGTCCTTTGGTCTTACCAACACCCCAGCGATGTTCATGGAATTAA